TGCCCAGTGGGCGGTACTGGGATGCCCAGCGCTGGGGGGGCTGGGATGCCCAGGGGGAGGTTCTGGGATGCCCAGTGCTGGGGGCAGGGAGGATGATGTTGCTGGGATGCCCAGCTCACCCCCTGGGGTGGCTGTGGCGCTTGACCACAGGCCACTCTGGCACAGCTGTGGTGGGTGGCTGCTGGGGTGCCCGGCCCTCTCCTGGGCCAGCTGGGGTTGCTGTTGTGGTGCCCAGGCTTCGCGCAGGGGGAGACGCGGCGAGCCTGCAGCGATACCTGTCTAGTCCAGCTCTCTGGCTGTGGGGGGATGGCTGCTGTGTGACCACTTCTGGATCACTTCTGTGGTTTCTTTTTGTGGCTGAGAGCTCCAGACTGCTTGGGTCTGCTGCACGGTGCAGGGGGAGGCGGGGTATTCTAGGGTCCCGAATGGCAGGGCCTCTTGGCTGAGACCCCACACACTCACCACATCTGCCTGACTTAGGTCTTGATGGGATATAAGGCCCTGGTTCCCAGAAAACAAGGGGTAAGACTCTAGAGAGAAAGGTACAAAACTGGAGATGGGCTTGAACGAAACTCCTGGCCCAGTCCCTAGCCCCCCCAAACCTGGATCTGGATCCGAATTGACTCCTATCTTTATAATGGCCTGGACCAATCCTCCAGGCCTGAACACCCCCCAAATTGGGACCTGGATCTGGACAGGGAAGGTGGCGGGGCATCCATCTCATCCCTGGCACCGAGGGAGAACAGGCACCAGCCTCACGCCCCTCCGTCTAGTGCCACAGATTCCTTTCAAACACAGTGACAGGAGCTAGTTCATTACCACGGGCAACTCCAGTTTTAACCCCTGCTGCCCCCCCCCCACATACACCTTCTCAGCCCTCTCCTTTGATTTGGGGGGAATCGATACATGTTTTCCGCCACAGCAGCGCCTGTGACTAGTTTGTTAACTATGAGGACTCCTGAATGAATAGCGCTCAGGCAGGTAATTTACCAACAGATCTGAGAGGGGATAAAGGGAAACCAATATAAATAGTCAGTAATAAAACTGTTTACTGACACCGGGCCTTCTTTTAATGAGATTTGTATGCAAGGGAGGGCACCTCTGATAAGCTCTCCAGCTTACAATTATTGACTCTTGTCCAGTGGAGCCACAAAGCAGGGAGAGACTATCTTCATAAAGCCCCTGATCACATCAATCGGGAAGGGAGCTGGAACAGAGTTGAAAAGGAGCCGGGGCATGAGTCAGTGTTATTAGTTCTGCTAGGATGGGACCTGATGCTACAGCACAGTGCCAAGACCACTCAACTCCCAGGAGCTGAGAGCGCCCGGCACCTTGCATGAGTGGGCACGCGATGCAGACACACTTGCCTTGAAAACACCGAGGGCTCTGCTGGGTCTAGTGATTTTGCTAGTGATTTTCCTGCACTCTTCAGGAGTTATGCAGCCTCGGCCCCAGACTGTGATGGTGATCCTTGACCTTCCTATTGTGCCTTCCACCTGAAGTAAGCAGGACTAGCCTTATTTTACTGATGGGGAAACTGAGGCACAGAGAAGTTATTGGCCTGATCCTTTGAGGTGATAAGTATCTGCATCTCTTGTTGACTTCAGCTGGACTTTTTTTAGGGGGTGGGGGTTAGCACCTCTGAAAATATGGCTGGAAGTGTCTTGAGTTGCTCCCAGTAATTGAGGCAGCCAAAGTCAGTGGCTGCTTTTGATCTGAGTGAGTTGCCCAACATCACAGAACAAATCAGTGGCAGAGCAGGGAATAGATCCCAGACTCCTGATTCCCTTTTTGCTCTAAGCACTAGACTACACTCCCACCAGAGGTGAGACTAGAACTCAGGTGTCCTGACTCACAACCATCAGATGTACCCTAGGCTGTAGGGAACTGTCCTGTACCCGTTGGGGAATGGATCATGGGCTCGCCAGCCTTTCCCCACTCTCGTGATGCTGCGTGCACTTCCGTGCCCTCCCGTATCTCCCTCCCTCTTTCAGTTCCCATCTAACCCGGTACCAACAGGGCTTCGGCCTGGTTAATGCTGCCCCTTGTGGGAAGCCACCAGCAGCACTGAACTGATCCTTGCTCAGAGAAATGCTTGCTGCATACATAACCCATCGCGCTGATCGCAGTCCGTGCAGCTCTCAGTGGGGAAAAGAAATGTGGCAGCCCCTCCCCAAATAGCAGTGCCGAGATTGCTGGATAGATGAGCACGGGGAGGACATGGACTGGCAGGATCTGGAAAGCTGTCTCCACTAGAGCGGCCTTGTTATGGGCTGGACTGAACCTTATTGAACTGGGAAGGGGTGTGTGTGTGTAACTGCTGCTCTTCATTTAAGACAGTTGGAGTTTAATTGTTTCTTACTTTATGGAACCAGATAGCTGAAACAATAGCAGCCTCCACCCAAAACACAGGCACATTGGAGGGGTTTCGCTGGCTATTGTTCTGTGTGGGTTTGTGTGTCTGTGCAAGAGAGACGGAAAGGCCAGAGGAGCAGAGACAGAAGCAGGCGATAACACAAGAGAGCAGGGGCCAAAAAGCCCCTGTACAAGTACTGGGAGTGTGGCCCTGAGAAAAGCTTTTGGGCTAGGTGCTGGCTAGAAAGGGTCTTGGATTCGGAACTGCAAGCAAAGAAACTGTCTCCTGTTGTTTGATTCCTCCTGCATTCAAGGAAATAGGACTTTGTACGTTCTCTGTAAATAATCAGCATTGGATCAAAGAAAGCTGACTCCCTCATCAATTTCTCCTCCTACCGGAAACAACCCTCAGCACCCCAATTGGGCTAACCGCTCGGGTCAGAAAGGGATAACACTTTCATTTGCACTGAGGGCCCAACACTACGCTCGTTCAAGCTCAGAGTGCGGGCACCAGCAAGCAAAGAATAGGCTTTGCAGTGAGTTGCTGCATCTCCAGAGGCAAGACCCCTTCTTAGCCCCATCACGAACGGTTCTTGTCTGTGCGGTGGCTGCTGGTGCTAGCTGCAGAGACCTGTCTTTGCTGTCCGGAGCACTTGGAACTGGAGCAGCTTGTGTG